CGATCATCTCGATTATCAACATTCCATAGCTGTATACATCCGATTTGTGTGATACATTTCCATAGATTCTTGAAAATACTTCAGGGGCAATGTAACCTATAGTTCCTCTTGTATCTAGCAATGACAAGATGCTTTCTCTTTTCCCGCAGAGCTTTGCAAGTCCAAAGTCAGAAACTTTCGGACAAAGATTGCCATCCAAGAGAACATTTTGAGGTTTAATGTCAAAGTGCACAATTCTTGTTTGGCACCCATTATGCAAGTACTCGAGACCACGCGCAATGCCTAGTGCAATCTCATATAGTGTTCTCCAGTCTTTATTCGATTGGACTTTGCTTGAGAAGAACTGATCCAGAGACCCGTTTTCGACATATTCATAAATAATGGCTCTTTTGGAACCATCGTAGCAGAATCCGAGCAGTGAGACAATGTTAACATGGGATGTTTTGCTCATGCTTGCTACTTCATTGATGAAGTCTTCACCGTTTTCCTTTGACTCCTTCAAGAGCTTAACCGCTACCATTCTACCATCCCGAAGTTTTCCTCTATAGACAGTCCCAAATCCTCCTTTTCCGACTACTTCAGCTAATGACTTTGTAATTCTTTTCACTTCAGAGTAAGTATACTGCTTCAGCGGAATAAGCGCCTGTAGGCTCTGTTTTGTCAAAGCATTTGGTGTTTTCCTTTTATACCAAATGACTATTAAGACCACCAAAACCATAACTGCTCCTAAGGAACCTGCAACTAGAGAAACTCAAACCGGAAAACACAAAATTTTCAATGAAGATCAACAATAATTTTAACTGCGACAGCAAAAAGAAAACAAATACCTATAAAAATATGTGAGACCAAGCTTTTGGAATTACCTGCAGCACCATCAAACGGGTAAAGATGGCAAAGAGTTACACAACCTTAAACCATGGAAGTAAACGGGCAAAAGAAATCATTGGATATCATAAGAAATTTGCAGAAAGATCCAGATGGAATCATTGGATTTATATTGAGATTAACTTAAATCAGCTGAAATATCCATAGCAGGAGAAATCATTACTCTTTTTTTCAGGATGGCAAGTATGCGCATGTGGCTCATTTATACAATAGCAGACAAAATCTCTCAAGCTCTGATTATATCCACAAGCACCCCTTGATCTCACGCATTGTGAACAGTCACCGTTTAATCTAAGGTTGAAACCCTCATCAAGAGCCTTCTTCAGAGCCTCAAGACTATGATTACTCTCTGCTCTCTTCAAGGCAGATCGAGAGACTGGAATATTGACCGTTCTTTCACACGATGCATCTAATATAGCTCTATTCCTAGAATGTGAAGGGGACCAGACAAAGTAACTTTGCACACCAATATCATCCTCACAGTCAAGCTGGCTAATGTAGCCATTGGGAAGAAAGTTTATCCTTGGAACAGGGCAGTCGTAATAAAAAGTTTGCAGCTCGGTGTCTTGAAGAAGTGAAAAGACTTGTTGGTTGATTATTGCGTTGTCAGGATGTTGGGGACAAAGATTGTTGAGATAATCCATTCTGGCAAGTCTTATTATACGGGACGCATAATTCATCTCAAGGATTCGGAACTTAACCGAAAACATACTAAACTCTGGGAAATCTCCACTGCAGTCGACCTTGAAATCCGGGTGACCACACTCTTCTCTCTCAGGTGTCCAAAAGGGATAATGGAGATCTGTCTGATTGCCGCATCTAAACGAAGGAGCACAGTGTATGTGACGCTCATCAACTGACAAAACACAAGGAGGGATCACAAACAACATCCATATGATTCTATAGAACCAAAGTTTTGTCAGAGACAGAGAAAGATTGATCATGGTGCTCTCCTCTTTTTTTTTGTTTTCTTGCCTTGGAGGT